TTAAAATGGGCCAGATCTTTTTGGTCATATATTTGTACATATATAGGATAATTTAATAGACAAATAACGTAAAACATACATAAATAAAAGGTTTGTGTTCAAACAAAGTGAAACTGCATTACCCCTGTTTGACTGAGAATGGACCCGCAATACATATATTGCAGTATTTTAGAAGCCCGGGAGACATAAAAAGCTGAACTCTGCAGAAAGAGACTAAGCGTTATCAGGAAAGTATTTGCATGTTGTTATCATCGGCCGGAGGCTGCGTCTTTGAATATAAATCAGCGACTTCCGTTCCTTTACAAGGTTCCTATTTATCTCAAGTAATACAGAACAAAAAGTCACGTCTAGTCTAAAAATTTTGTATCAGAATGAAATAAACGTAAGATTATTATAAAAATATTTTTTTTTACTAATCATTATGACATGTGGTTTAAATGGACTTAACATACATTTTATTTTGATATTCTTCAATTTTTGTTTTTACATTTGGATATTTTATTTTATTCTTTAGATAATATTTTTAATATACATTTTTATTATGCCTTAATTTTTTAAACTTTAACTGATTCGTATTTTTTTTAAATTTACCCTCATAAAACTATTATCAACTGATATATTACGCACTATTAAGAACAACAATATAAAATTGCTCGTGTAGTACAGTATTACAAATATCTTTCACTACTTTAATTTAAAAACGATGATTTTGTCATTCAACAAGTCACGTACATTGTTAGTATCGTCTCTCATTTGTGTAGCCTAAATAATGGGCTATGCCTAATTTTGATAAAGCAAATTAAAATATTACTAATAAAGCATAATTACTAACAAAAAACACCAAATCATTATTAAAAATTAAAACAGGTTTCCTAATAAAATATTATTACATCAAATATCTGCGCACTCGATGATTTCCCCAGAGTAACCATGTATGCTTTCTTGATAGACAATAAACCTTTTCCGTCTCTAGCTGACATGCTTAATATATCTGGAGCACATCTGAAACATTATTATTGGTTTTACAAACTTAAGCTTTTTCTCAAAAAGTCTCTGCTTGGTAAATTAAAAAAAAAATAAAATACCGGTAAGTTAATATGAAAATCACAATACCTAAATATACAAAAAATGTTTTGTATGTAAAAAGTCGACATTTACATAAGTGTGTGTAGCTATATATGTTTTAGTTTGTTTATTAAAATTTTATTCAAAAATATTTGGCTATCATTTTAGTTTTTTTTTTATATTATTAAAACAAATAATAAAAGGAGTTGTATTGTCTATATGCCAGAATATATTGGTTACTAAGTATTGCTTTTCCACGAACGATAAACACAATAAATTTCTTAATGTGGATGTCCTTTACATTTTCACATTTTATGTGAAAAATGCATACATACTGTCCCATGTTCTATCCGTGTTAGTTTTATCGATCACAAATTCCAGTTTATTTAGATCCATAATCGACAGTGACAGCTATCACCACTAAAAGTCAAAGTATTATTTTATTTAGTTAAATTATTTATTTTACACGAAAAAAGTCTCAAAAGTATAAAGTTTTCTTTGGATCGTTCACAATTACGAAACATATGAATTGTGTAATGTTTGAGCAACGTGCACAACAAAAGGCATTCACAACACTAAAGGTCTATTGTAACATAATATGTAGGAAGCACTCACAGCTGATATCAGTACTGAGGCCTTTTGTTAATGGTATATTCGAAGTGATGTCTGTAGTGCTGTCAAAATTGTAACCTTATAGATCTATTAATTTTATATCCGCATATTAATTAAAACATTATCATTATGAAACACTTTTCATCAGAAAGCCAGTCGTACTCTACATATTTTTTTATGTCAAATCCTTTAGAGCATGTCCATGTCCCAGCAAATTTATGGATTTTTCTAGCCTGATAAATTGAAATATTCCGTTGTTATAATACGGTCCACGTCTTTTACCGTGTCTATGTGTATGCATTTTAACTTCCTCTCCATATAATATAACAAACTAGGTTCCACTACAGTATAGGGAGAAAGTATTGTTTTTTGCCAAAAATTAAGAAATTGAATATTGAGTGGAAATATCAGTTTAAGGTTTCTTTGAACCCTAACATGTGGTTTTCGAAGTGATGTTTGTGTGTTAGGTGTTTAGGCGTGTACTGAGCTACAGATTACACCTGTAAATACGTAGTATATTTATAAATATCTCATGGTCAATAATTTGTTGTTAGATTCTTAAAAATTTTACAGGACATTTATCCTTTCTTATCCATCATAAATCATCATAAATTGCCATCTTTTTAAGATGTATAATAATAAATAATATTAATAATATGTCTACTGTTAGGTTAACATAAGACTTACCAAAATAAGAATTATTCACGTTATCGTTGGTGGCCCACCCTACAGAGTGATTTTTAATTTTCCCGGGTGGGGGAGGGTGCTTAGCCGTATCTGGGGAAAGTTTGTCAAATTATATGAACAAAGGTAGTCCACAATGCCCAGCACCTTGTTGTAGAATTTACACTGAGACCTCGTATTCAGGTTACACAAGAGAGACGCAGAAACTAAATATGGGAAAACCAGTGATGTATAAAAAATCAACCATAACACAACTATAATGTTCATAATCTTGGCTCTCCGAAGCAAGTAATTCTCCTAAAACTTGAAAATGTTTCAATATTTTTAGGAGTGTTATACACGTTATGCCAATTTAATTAAAATCCACGTGTGTCCTGAGCTGTTGGACATAATGTAAAACCAAATTACTTACGTAATCACGTTACAGCTCCAAAATTATGTCAATTCAGAACATGTTTTGGTGTAAAAAACGCCATCGTCAGCTTCAGGTATCTTCAGGTAGATTGATAAGGGTTAACATAGTCAGTGTTTATCTTTTGACGATGTTAAATACTGATCAACTCTACATATTTACCTCAAGCTGAGGATTGTGTTTTAACACCGAAACGTGTCCTGAATTGACATATTTTATTAAGCTGTGACTGGATTACGTAAGTAAATTAGTCTTACGTTATTTAACCTTAAACTCTTGATCTGGGTTTGTATTTAGTTTGCTATCCTAAAAGCATGTGTGGTTTTGTATAAATGTAAAGGTAACTGTCAATGTTTTCGAGTAGCGATAACTTACCTTAAGAAACATAATTTATAAATAAAAACTTTTTTAAAACAAAACTTTTTTAAACGCACTAAAAAGTATAAAATAATTTATAAATATGTTGAGAGTATAAATACTTGTAAGATTTAAAACGAAAAACGTGGGGTGCATGCAATAGATAATTTACAATTACCTTCGCCTATTAAACTTATGTATTATTATCAATTAATTGCATGCACCCAACGTTTTTCGTTTTAAATCTTACAAGTATTTATACTCTCAACATATTTATAAATTATTTTCTACTTTTTAGAGAGTTTAAAAACGTTTTGTTTTAAAAAAGTTTTGTATTTATAAATTATTTAAAACTTTTTAGTCTTTAATGTGTAAATATATTAAATATATTTTATATGGCCTGTTAATATATAACCTTTGACTATTAATACAACAAACCAAAACCTTATTATCTCTAATCAGATGGTTTATCTTTACTTTAAAATGCTTGTTTTATATTTTTAGAATATATCTGGAGCAGAACCTGTACCTCTTAACCTCTGCTCTTCGAACTGTCAAATTTAAGTATTTACAGCTGACTTAAATTAATTGATACGTTTACATTCTTTCAAAATGTAAACATGGAAAATGTGAAAGCCCATGGGGCATATCCCGTGGGAAATATGAAAATTAAATGATATAATATTGCATCGTCATCCGTTTGTGAGCTGTTTCAAGTTTCAAGTCTCTGGCTCATCGGGAACTTAGTATGAAATCGATTGCAACATTTGTACCGGACAAGAAAGCGAGCTAATACAAACTTAAAAAACTTTAAAATAGCTTTTATTTACCGACTAAAATCGTAACTGTGATATTCTTCAACAAAAAATGGGAGGGTTTAGTAAAACTAAAATGTGTGTGTTTTTTTATACAAAATTACTTTCATCACTGGCTAAAATTTGTTTGTATTTATTTTGTGGTTCTTATAACCTGCAAACATATTTTTTTTGTTCATTAGAACGAATGTTAAACAATGATAACTGGTCCCAAGTCAGACATTATTATTAACACTCTTGTCATGCAAAGCTTGTTGCGTTTTTATAGGTCCCTTGAGTGAGCAAAAATAACGGGTTGAGTAAGAAACAAATTAATGTTATGGGTAATATAATTTACTTGTAGCTTTTATACAAAGTTTTATTCAATATTCATCGGTAATTTATTGTATAGAATGATCTTTTATAAATTTGTTAACGATAAACCATGATTTAATATGTAATATTTATTACGGTTACTATAGTTCAATGTAGTTTAACAACTTTAATATAAAATGGATTATTTTAAAACGTTCGTTTAAAACATACATTTGTAATATTATCACAATCTCAAATGAGTATATTTAACTAAGTGTTCACTTATGTTTGGTACTAGATTTTATACAAATAAGTTAAATAAAAAAAAAAACCTCAAAATCAAAAATTATCCAACACAGGTCCTAACCGTTCAAAAGTGTCTTAATGGTGTAATATTTACCTACTTTTGACAATTATTTTTAAGAAGTTATTTGTAGTTTATATGTAATATTTTTCTATGTAGTTTTTAATGAAGTAGTTTTAAAGACCTGAGGTAAATACCAGGAAATGTACTCAGTGACACGAGGGAAAAGAACTGAGGGAAAGTGCTGAGGGAAAAGTGCCCGGTACTTTCGCTGGGGGGCTGGTACTGGGTACTTCTCCCACCCTCCAAGCACCTTACGACCCTATAAAAGGCGCATCCTTCGGACACTCTAGTCAGTTGGGCCCCCGGGCCCGCCCCCGCCGGTAGGCGACACCGGTGGGTCCCTTCCCCGCACTAGAGGCGTGTTGAGCTCGGTGCATTCCGTTTTAACACAGACATGGAGGTGTCGACGGAGGACCTAAGGGTACTAAAGACTGGTGAGCGGTTAAATGACCGGATTATTAATGAGTACCTGAAATTGCTACAACAGAGAGGCGAGAAAACTAAGTGGCCCACTGTGTTGGCCTTTAATAGCATCTTCCTGGGCAAGTTCCTGAAACACGGATACACGGGGGTGGAGAGGTGGACAAAGAATGAGGACATATTCAAGTATGATATTGTGCTAATACCCAACTTTGTCGAAGATCTGCGACATTGGATTCTAGTTGTCGTGGACTTTAGAACAAAGGAAGTGTTAATTCGCGATAGTCTTTCTGGAACTTACAACAGCATCGGCGCGAAAGTTCTGGAGTATTTACGAGTGGAAGCGTTTCACAAGAAGAAAAGAATCCTGCAGTCGAGAAAATGGGGAATCAAAGGTAAACTAGGTCCAAAGAAAGGAAACAAGATGGATTGCGGAGTTTATCTGTGTATCAATGCTGAAGCTTACGCGGCCGACAGGACCGCAACGTTTACGCAAAGGGACGTGCCCTGGTTACGTATGACAATGGTGAAAGAACTGCAGGAGAAAAGAATACTCTCACACCAAAAACCCCCGCCCGAAATACCCGGCATAAAACCAGCGCCTATGAAGAAGGGAAGAAAGAAGATAACACGTAGACCATCACCTATGTTCGTGTCGGAGAGGACCAATAGCTCAGTTAGCAATAGCCGGAACGCTGATTGAGGAAGAAAAACAAATGATGCAGCACCCACCGGGGTAGTCGAGCGTGGACCACCCAAGAGAGAAGACGTTGTGCCAAATAAAAAGGTCAGAAAAGGTGGTTATGAGTCAGACACTTCAACGAGCTCATCATCATCAAGTACAGCTAGTAGCTCTTCCGACAGTTCGTCACGATCGAGCGGGCCCCACAAGGGAACAACAGGATCTGAAGGCGCCGCCTACCCCTGGAGCCGAAGAAGAGGAATCTGCAACACTAAAACCGGAGGTCAAAGTAAATAAGGAGGAAGTGCATATATCTGAGGAAGTCCCCCCGGGATTTGGAGCCGACTGGTAGCTTCTCTCCGTCGATACAACCACATTACTTGGTCTTCCTCCCGTCACCGACTTAGACCCCGAGCAACCAGACGACAAGGAGACAAAGGACAAAGAGCTGATCCCGGAAGACCTACAGCCTGAAACAACGAAATCAAAAGAGACTGGGAATTCTGTAGATGCTACGAGCCCGGACACTGAGATGCGTCGAGAAGTCAAGGCGATTATAGTGGATGACGAAGGTTCGGAAGGAGCTATTGAAACTCTACAAGTGAAGTTTGAGAACAATCAAATGTACTGAAAGAGGGAGGGCAGGAGGAAGAAAAATGATAGGAAAATAGTGAGGAAATTCAGAGACAGGAATGAAAGTGTCATGTATTTTAAGTCATAAAACAAGCCGAAATCAAGTCTGTCTGTTAAATGTAGACTGGAGTTTTTGTTTATGTTTTTATAGAAGAAGTTTGACTGTTTTATTTGAACCAAAGTTTTGTTTTTTACTAGTTGTTAATCTATACCGAGAAATAAATAAATATATTGGTTTGACACAAACGGTGTGGGTATTTAAATATAGTAGCTTATTAAAAAATAGGTTAAGACCTAAAGTTCAAGCTAACAGAGTGAGTCAAAAGGCAAAAAAAGAAAAGAAAAAAGGAGTTGGAAAGGAAAATAAATGTCTAAGGTGAAAAAACATTTTTTTCACTTTTGGGATAAAGGTGTTTTTTTTTTTTTTTTTTTTTTGTCCTAAGAACGCTAGGCACGAGCCTGGGATTGTTTTTCACATTACATCAGGCTAGACCTAGGGGTTGCGGCATTATCACTTAGATAAAATCCATTAGTGACTTGGCGGGGATCGAACCCGGGACCTCAGGGACTGAAGTCCCGCGCTCTAACCACTACACCAGCTCGCTCCCCCCCCCGGGATAAAGGTGTAGAAAGATGGAAGATGGAGGGAATTTTGGAAAGATGGAAAGAGGTTTTATCTTTTTTTATTTCTAGAAAGAAAGGGGGAGTGTAATGAAGTAGTTTTAAAGACCTGAGGTAAATACCAGGAAAGGTACTCAGTGACATGAGGGAAAAGCACTGAGGGAAAGACCTGAGGGAAAACACCAGGAAATGTACTCAGTGACACGAGGGAAAAGAACTGAGGGATAGTGCTGAGGGAAAAGTGCCCAGTACTTTCGCCGGGGGGCTGGTACTGGGTACTTCCCCCACCCTCCAAGCACCTTACGACCCTATAAAAGGCGCATCCTTCGGACCCTCTAGTCAGTTGGGCCCCCGGGCCCGCCCCCGCCGGTAGGCGACACCGGTGGGTCCCTTCCCCGCACTAGAGGCGTGTTTAGCTCGGTGCTTCCCGTCACGCACTAGAGGCGTGTTGAGCTCGGAGCATCCCGTCCCCGCACTAGAGGCGTGTTGAGCTCGGTACTTCCCGTTCCCCATTACTAGAGGCGTGTTGAGCTCAATGCATCCCGTCCCCAGCACTAGAGACGTGTTGAGCTCGGTGCATCCCGTCCCCAGCACTAGAGGCGTGTTGAGCTCGGTACTTCCCGTTCCCCATTACTAGAGGCGTGTTGAGCTCAATGCATCCCGTCCCCAGCACTAGAGACGTGTTTAGCTCGGTGCATCCCGTCCCCAGCACTAGAGGCGTGTTGAGCTCGGTGCATCCCGTCCCCAGCACTAGAGGCGTGTTGAGCTCGGTACTTCCCGTTCCCCATTACTAGAGGCGTGTTGAGCTCAATGCATCCCGTCCCCAGCACTAGAGACGTGTTGAGCTCGGTGCATCCCGTCCCCAGCACTAGAGACGTGTTGAGCTCGGTGCATCCCGTCCCCAGCACTAGAGGCGTGTTGAGCTCGGTACTTCCCGTTCCCCATTACTAGAGGCGTGTTGAGCTCAATGCATCCCGTCCCCAGCACTAGAGACGTGTTTAGCTCGGTGCATCCCGTCCCCAGCACTAGAGACGTGTTGAGCTCGGTGCATCCCGTCCCCAGCACTAGAGGCGTGTTGAGCTCGGTACTTCCCGTTCCCCATTACTAGAGGCGTGTTGAGCTCAATGCATCCCGTCCCCAGCACTAGAGACGTGTTGAGCTCGGTGCATCCCGTCCCCAGCACTAGAGGCGTGTTGAGCTCGGTACTTCCCGTTCCCCATTACTAGAGGCGTGTTGAGCTCAATGCATCCCGTCCCCAGCACTAGAGGCGTGTTTAGCTCGGTGCATCCCGTCCCCGTACTAGAGGCGTGTTGAGCTCGGTGCATCCTGTCCCCGCACTAGAGGCGTGTTTAGCTCGGTGCATCCCGTCCCCGCACTAGAGTCGTGTTGAGCTCGGTGCATCCCGTCCCCCGCACTAGAGGCGTGTTGAGCTCAATGCATCCCGTCCCCAGCACTAGAGACGTGTTGAGCTCGGTGCATCACGTCCCCGCACTAGAGGCCTGGTGAGTTCGGTGCATCCCGTCGCCGCACTAGAGGCGTGTTGAGCTCGGTGCATCCCGTTCCCCCGCACTAGAGGCGTGTTAAGCTCGGTGCATCCCGTTCCCCAGCACTAGAGACGTGTTGAGCTCGGTCCATCCCGTTCCCCGCACTAGAGGCGTGTTGAGCTCGGTGCATCCCGTCCCCCGCACTATCGGCGTGTTGAGCTCAGTGCATCCCGTTCCCCAGCACTAGAGGTGTGATGAGCTCGGTGCATCCCATCCCCCGCACTAGAGACGTGTTGAGCTCGGTGCATCCCGTGCCCCGCTTTAGAGGCGTGTTGAGCTCGGTGCATTCCGTCCCCCGCACTAGAGGCGTGTTGAGCTCGGTGCATCCCGTCCCCGCACTAGAGGCGTGTTGAGCTCGGTGCATCCCGTTCCCCCGCACTAGAGGCCCATACTATATTCAGTTTAAGTCCCCGATGGCTAAATGGAGCTGCCATCCGGGACCAAGGATCCGTCTGGAGGGGGATGAAGAGGCCCACCTCCACTACTTAAGAGAGAGCCGACTGGGAGTGGCGGCAGTTGGCATCCGTCGGAGGTGCTATTAGCTTATGATGGGTGTTATTATTGGTGTTATTATTTTATGATAAGTTATCAGTATTAGCGTTGTTACTTATATTTAAGAACTGCATTTGTTGTATAATAAACATTTGTATTGCATTTATTGGATGGGAATTTTAAAATTGCTTTTTATAATAAACTTAATCATACACAAGGAGGTACGCAGCACCAGTATAGTGTTGTAACATAATGAGATGACATTTCTCATGGAGACTTCCAAGGGATCAACGACGGAGAGAGTGGAAGCTTATGTAAATTAGATGAATTGTTACAACGAATATTTTACTTGGAGTGCTTCATATTTCCTGTCATTTCTGGACTGCGTAATGGACCAAACAAAGCTAGGTTTACAAGATTATTTAGCTTAATTTATAGATATTTTTACATTTTACAATTTAAGAAAAATTAGGTTTAAACAAATCAGTACGAATGGTCATAGGTTTTGTCTTTTGTAGTGAGAAACCAAATAGACCATTAAAACAGCCTCTTTTATGAAGCTTTTGGTTTAAAATATATTAATATATCGCTTGATTTAATAAGGACATATTTATTTCACAATAACGTTTTTTACCATGATCACGTTCTGATAAATTAGTTTCTAAATATAAGGGAATAGTTAAAAGGATTTTTTGTACCCCAATCGAGTGAGTTTTTAAAGTAGAACAAGTAAACTATGAGTAAAATAAATTCATTTTGTTATTTAGTCTTGTAAAGGGGTTCAACTTCACTCTTAAACGGGGCTCTCATAGCACTTGAAAAAATCAGAACAGTAAGGCAATAAGAATAATTTACAACAATGAGAATCTGCGTAAAATATTAAAAACCATTATGTGAATAAATGCTTGACTGAAATTACTACAGTAAAATTACACCATTCATGAAATGATCGTACGACTTTGTTTGATATTCTATAACGTCACAAAGACATAAGGTTGGAATTACTTTTAGATTCTGTTAACCGTAAATTGGCAGCCAAGAAATAATTTAATGCTGCATATCGAGTAGAAATTAAGCAATTAAACTGTTTTTGCTACAATATTTAACATAACAAAATTACAGTACAATAAAAATTTTAAAACATAACAGTTAAAATCAATCAAATTTTCAAACCAAAGTGGTGGGATGGATCAGACAGGAAACAAGTTGTAAAAGATGCAGTCTGTAATTTACTGTTTCGGTAAATGAAGGTCTCTGGTTTCAGAAGCCCGTTGATTATTATGTTTTATAATTATAATCAAATCACTCAATCATCTTCTTTTCCCAATATGTTTTTGAATACTGTTGTAGATTACATTGTAGTTGTAGTGGCATTTAAGTGTAGGTCTTGTTGATATTATGTATTTAATGTCATTGCAAAAAAAACCATCTACGAAGTTACAAGATCCCCAACGAAGTAGTAATAATCGCTATAACGTACTAATCACTGGAACATCTTCTCTGAGATTGCGTCTGCTCGGAGTAATTCTTAGAAATGATGTTAAACTCAAGAATGTTTCCCTACGTTCAATACAAACTACTTGAACAATTCTTTATTTCTTTGAGACGAAACAAAACAACAATCTATACAACGGTTCTATGTAATAATTATATTGATAAGCATTTTTATTTATTTAGGCAAAAACACTTTTATAGTTACTTTTAACGTTATTGAAATTTGAGTTTTTATCA